ATAAAAAATATTTAACGTACAGATTTGATTCAGTTATAATTTTATTATATGTGTAGATTTTAGTGCTAGTGGACCTAAGTGAAAATTAATTATAAAGTCGCACGTGAACTCTTCGTAATACATCAGATCAATGATTAACTCTTTACTTAGAAGTGACAATATTCTATAAAATATCCAACGATGACTATTTATGTATATTTTATTATAAATAAAATTTACATTTGATTGTATAAAGTTAAACACAGTACGCCATTTAGTCAAATGAAAATCGTGATATATGCAACAAAGTCGTAAAATGACATATAAACTTGATGCTGCTAATATTGTTTGCAATCAGGCAACTATAAAATAGTGCTATAAAACATACTGATGGAATATACAATTGAATAGGTATAATCTTAAATACTAAGATATTGCCTTTCTTTATTAAATGGTCTGATGCATTCTACGATAACCTTTCTTAAATTCTTACTGTAATTATTATAGAATAAAAGTTAAAACTATTTTTAATAAGTTTGTAATAGAAATCTATACAATGTATAATAAAATTCTTAATGAGTCGATTCTGTACATTTAATATTAATGAAGAAATAGTCATTATTATCGATACAGGGGCCAAATCTCTAGTTTTTACAATTTTTGTCTGTCTGTCTGTCTTTTCATGAAATGTCAATGTCATTTTGATGAAATTTGGTATGATGATAGCTGGTTATCCGGGTCAACATATAGGATACTTTTTACTGCGGGAAAATATATACTAAATAATAAAACATAAGGAGGGACGAATCCAAGCGAAGCGTGTGTGTCTGAATCTATCTATAAAAAGTCTGAATTTATCTATAAAAAGTTATTATAGAGACCGCCGTATAACTTAAAAAAAAGAGGAGATTGGAAATACTCTCTGGAAGCTACTCTGAAATACTATCAAATGGTGACTGATATGTCAATAACCATAGCTTACTTGATTTTTTTTTATTTTATACTTATAATAGAAGTTTTACGAAAAATGAAAAATTATAAAATAACCGTCAAAGCGTCATTATATTACTATTAATCGCTATTGCTGTGGTGTTACAATATTTATTTATTTATTCAAGCGGAAGGGGAGAGTCAGTAATTGGCACATGACAATGGGGATTAAGCGGCTTACAGACGAGTTTTGTGATTCAAATATTGACGGCTCGGTGGGCGACAATGCAGGCCTGTTATGATAATATTCTTGACATTTCATACAATAATTTGTCCGCAAACTGTTCACATCGAGTGGCCGTTGAAATCTTTATGGCGCTCTCGACGTCTGTTTTGTAATAATTGGAATATATAATGTAGTGTACTCTTGGGAACTAAACTCAGATTTACCATCATATTGCTCCTTCCTTTTAAATTACCATAAATCCTAGGCTTTTATTATTAAAATTGAAAACTCTCATTGAGTTACATTATGCGGCTATCTTGTAAATTGTAAGAAAATAGTACTATGGCCTAAGCAACTATCCAGATACCAGCGTCGATGATTTTATTATACGACAGATAGATGCGATTGTTTTTGTGAATGATATTAAAAAAATAATTTCAGTCGTCTGTAACAAACCCTTAAATATATGTAATATAGCAATATAGCATTTTTAAATTCAGAAATATAATTTCTTAAATGTCTTTTTCTACAAACTAAAAACAACATAACAAGCAATTTTCAACATATTTTACACATTTAAAATTTTAATATAAAATCAATATAGTATTATAGGTACGAGAATCTCGCATCAATCTTTCTCATCACGTCGACTCGCCCTCGCGATTAATCACGCGCAGAACGTTTTCGATTAGCGTCAACTAAAAAACCATCTAATTATTAACAACCGGCTTGCTTCATTTGTTCTTCTAATTTTACAACTCCAAAGGGTTAACTTTAGGTGGAAATTGGTTCTATGTAACTTTTGCTTTGTTTTTGTTATGTATAAGTCCCGTCCCATTCATGTTATAAAAAATTATATTTTTGTAATATCTGAAATATGAAATAGGTTTTTGTGTAACTTGTAAATTTCATTTTTTATGTTATTTCTAGGTCTGAAAGTTTCGTTTGTAATATGTATGTAAATGATGAGTGATATTTTTTTTTTAAATTGGCAATGTACCCAAAGGAAACAAGTCAGGAAATAACAGCTCGGGTTAAAAAATTGGATCGCGAAAATATGAGCTTTGAATAAAAAGTATAGCATAGTTACGTACAACAGTGGTAGCCGAGTCGTAACGCTGAGAGCGTTGGGAAGCCGAATGAAGCGGGTTCAAATCCCTGGTCTCGCACCTCTGATGTTTTTATGTGTGAATCATTTCCAACATAATTACCACTTGTCTTACAGTGAAGGAAAACATCGTAAGGAAACCTGCAGTCTGAGAGAACCCGTACTTGGCCAGCGTGGTGGACTATGGCCTGATCCCCCTTATATTGAAGGCAGGCCCGTGCCCAGCAGTGGGATGTTAAAAAGGGCTTAATACAACAACTTACATACAGCAAAATAACTCACATCAATACTACTATATTTTGTAAAAAAAATGCTTATAAAATCTATAATCTCATTACTTGTCGTTAGAACAAGGGTAAAAGTAAATAATAATATTTTGTCTTAGAAACAGTTACAGTGGCCACCCTGAAAGATCCTCTTGCAAGAATGCAAATTCGTTTTTCGCACGCCCTGACCCCAATGCGTCCATTACTTCTTTAATGACGAGTTCAAATATATAGAGGAAACAGGAAGTGTCAAATAGCGTTTTCTTGTCCATACACGGCCCAGTTCGACTTAGCGCTAAGTGCCCTGATGTAATTGTTCGTCAAATGCAAATAGCTCGTGTTTGATTATCCGGCGCCGCGTGTCCATGGGTTAAACTTTTGCCCATTTCGAAGTAAACCGGACGGACGGTCACATTTGTCTAACGGTTTTTCCTATACAGATGACACGTGCTTTCTGAGTCAATTCGCCGACTATGGGTATTAATGAAAAATTTATTTGCTTATTAATTGTATTTGTTCATCATTTACGTATTATTTTATTTTTTTATTACTGGCAAATAATGGTTTAAAGTAAATTTTTTAAATAATACATTTTCCATTTAGTTTTAAATAAACGATGTGAAAGAAATATATAGAGTGTATTTATAAAAACAATGTTCAAGGCGTTAGAATTTCCAATCAAGCGTATACTTTTTATCGTCATACATTTAGTGATACAAGTATTTTATCTGTATTTTAAATTGCCAGTACATTTAAGTGCCGGATATTGGCGCAATTATTGCGAATGACATGTTCAGTAGCAACGGGGTGTATCATTTGAGTCTTTACGTAGTGTTGCTAGCTTAAATGTAAATACCTATTTGTCACCACGATTGCCTTATTATTTGATCAGGTTTTAAATCGGTAGGTACCAACTATAATAACTTCGAAAGCTTGTACGTCTGTTATTCTTTTACGCTAAAATGGCTCGACACATTTGGATGAAATTTAATGCATAGACAGACTGCAATATATAACCTAAAGTAGCACGTAGGACACTGGTAGGCACCCGAGCAAAGCGAGGGTAAATTACTAGTTCCTAATAATTGTTAAGATCTTTATATACTCTACTCTAGCCACCGATATAAGCTTTTAAGCATGTACAAATGAAAAAGCTCGAATGACAAAATTCTCACCCGATCTTGTCTACTTAGTATTGATATTCAAATCCTTGTTCACGTTTTATCGCTCGTAGTTTATTCATGAATGTATGAGAAATGTAATGCAATTGTGATGTTTTTTTCCGGACATGCGGGCTCACTACACGTGGCCATTGCGCACCGTTAACTTCCTAGTGTGAATATTAATGTCCCCATTATTTCTAAGTGATAACGATTCTTCATATCAACACTTATATTGCAATTCTTTGTTAATTTTTATATCTATTTATCGTTGACTAGCATTGCCCGCGGCTCCGCCAGCGACCAAAAACCAAATTCTTAGGTTTTACATATTAGTATTCTCTTACATTGCAGTTTTTGTATATTTTTTTCAGAAATGAGACATTTCCCGCGGTAAAAAGTATCCTATATGTTCATCCGGATAACCAGCTATCAATCACTATACCAAATTTCATTAAAATCTGTTCAGTAGTTTTCTCATGATGCGGTAACAGACAGACAGACAGACAAAAATTCTAAAAACTATAGATTCGGCATCTGTATCGATAATAATGACTATTTCAATAAGATTTTCCAAAAAATTTTTAATGTACAGATTCGACTTAGTTAGAATTTTATTATATGTATAGATTCAACATGAATTTCCGCGTTGTCTATATAAATGAAAAGGAAAAACGGTTTATGAGTAAGTGCATCACTTGAGAGAAAGGACTGACCGATTAGCCTTACCTTTTTTTAAATGTAATATGAATAGTGTTTTCAGATTTATAAAAATATAAAAGTATGTAAGATAATTGGAAAACTCAAAGTTTCCAAAAAATATTAAAATTTAGACAATCAACATGTGTGTCAGTTAGTAAATTAAAGTAACAATACATTTTTTTTGCATATTGAAGATTTTGTTCAGAAGTGACTATTATTCGCTTATTAGCAAAACTCGCGGCTTTGCCCACGTTCAATCTACAAATAAAACTCTTTAGCTTTGTTATATAGTGCTCACCCTTGCTTTGCTCGCGTTCGTTCCTATGTATTTATATAATATATTTTTTCAATAATATATGAAAGTCTACCCGATTTATTGACATTTATGATTACTGCTCCGCTCCGTTGGGTAGTAGCATGATGATATATAGCCTATAGCCTTCTTCAATAAACGGGCTATCTAATACAAAAATAATTTTTCAAATCGGATCAGTAGTTCCTGAGATTAGCGCGTTTAAACAAACAATCTGCCTCATTATAATATTTGTTTAGATTACTACAATTTGTGTGTTTCTTGTATGTTTTAAAATAAGTAGGTATAGTTTTAACTTTTATTTCTTTTATTTCAGTTGTATGAAATCAGCGATGATCCCCAGAGGAAAGAGTTTCTAGACGACTTGTTCTCCTTTATGCAAAAGCGAGGTAAGTTCCCACATAATATTCCAGCCAACACACTATTGACTGTAAAGATTTGATTAATTCTCTCTACCGATTGATATTACTTGCAATTTATCATAAATTTAAATGTTCTATTCACGACGGTCCTTTATTAAAGAACCAAATTAGGATGAGCTTTAGTGAAGAATAAACAAGTATGCTTTAGAGGTCTTTATGATTTGGTTTCTAGATACGAATCGAATATAGGTTATCTTCTGGTATAAACGGTTTTATATTGTGGAGATCGACGTGCGGATGATAAGATCGCGTATGATTGACGATGTCTGTTCATCTATGAATATGTACCTATGTATTACTACTTGTAATTAGCAAGTCTATTACAGAGATAGATAAGGTTTTTTAGAAATAATGAAATTTAATTTGATGTTATGTTTGTAGTAGAAATTAAAAATGCATGCTATTACACTTTTCTTGAATCAGAAACTCAGTCCCACTCTACCTTATTGTGTTTATGTCATACAGATGATATAGGTAGATTGAACATATCTGTTTTGTTGGTTATGGGAATTCGCCATGTTGCCATATTAATCAAGGTAATCATTATATTTTAAAATCATAATAGAAATAATCAAGCGGGAGATTTGTTAATCGCCTCGAGCGCTCAGATCGTGGGTCTGCATTTGATTGATAACTGTTGCTATCACGCTTTAACTTTATTCACTTTTTATTTTTTTTCTCTTTCCATCTTTAATTGATCTGAGTTGTCAATGGCGCCATCTCTGGTGGATTGATCATTTTGTTCAACTACGTACAATATTTAATTCTGTATGAAATGTAATTGGTAATAAACGTAACTAGGTACTTTCATATAATTTTGTTTGACGACATGCTTGGCTTAGTTTGTAGTGACCCTACTTGCTGTGCCAGCGGTCGCGGGTTCGAGTCCTGCTGGGGGCATACATTTGTGTGATGAGCACGAATGTTTATAATCTATTTAATGTATGTATGTTATGTATGTATTTAAAGTTATATATGTAGGTATATGTAGTGGATCAACTATCTTGTTTCCATTTTTTTTTGTTTTCGCTGGGGAAACCCATCATGGCGACCCTGCCGGCCGTTAACGGGCAGGGTACTGTGAGACTCCTACTGACTAAAACCCACAGCGGAAGACTATCTGGTATCCATAGCATAAGCCTCGTAAGTCGTAGCTTACCATGGAACTAGATGGTGCTGTCAGCTGTGTGTTAAAGTCTCAATATATTTATATAAATCTATAGGGCTTATTTTGGACCTTTTTATGCGCTAGTGTCTTTGACGAGGTGTACCTACCTTGTAGAGGTGTTTTTAACGTAAAACATAATTTTATTATGTGTTAATTTTTGTAATTATAATTTACAATTCAAAATATTTCATTCAGCATTAAATTATTACAATTTTTTACTGAACGTCATGAGTCTAGTACCAGTTCGGAAAGAAGAAGCCTCAGACCTGAGAAGAACTGGCGAAAGAAACATTAGGTATAAGTATTAAGTAGGTACCTTCTTTTAACATAACTGCCTTTATAGCGTAATTTAAAGATGAAATTTTAACTTAAGAAATTACATAATTAAAATAAAATACATATAAATTGTTCTTCTATAGAAGCCTAAAAATATAACACACCCATATTATTATTAGATATTTTCGCGTGTTATCTTACTTAGGGTTTCGCCAGACCTGACAAAATATAACCCATAAATCGGGATTAATAAGACCTTTCAAAAACAATTTTACGACTTCGCTCGTTAATCGTACATCCTTGTCCGACTTGTCATAATTGAAATAAATGTTATAAATTATATTTACACGACACGACTGTGCAATAGTTGCTGAGAATATCAGAATCGGAACCGGGTCTTATCTGTTCTGTAATAAATTATTATTCAATTTATCACTTCACCACGACCAATAAACTTCTGGCTGTTATTACGCTGAGGCGATAACAGCGAAACTAATCATATTTTTACTTAACGAATTATATCGAGAACAAATTAAAATCGAAATGCGAATCGATGTTTGAATAAATTGTATCTGAATGTTATGATATTAGTCTAGTTATGCTTGTTTCAGTTACATATGATGCATACAACTAGATAGTTGATATACTTATTAATCTATAGCCTTTTTGTTAACGTCGTTTATAGATTTTTTAATTACTAGAATTAATTTATTCGACTGAGGCTTATCTTCTTGCCAGCCTCCATCTCTGATCTCGTATTAATAATGTTTTATCATTTATTATTGCTCGTGAGTAATGAAAGTTAACCCGACACGCCCCGCGCCTGCGCCGCACTCTGTCTTCATCACCGTTAAAAAAATTAACATCACTTCACATCACTAAATCTTTTTTTTTTGTTTTTAATCAATCTCGGACGTTTAGTTTAAGGCCAACGACGAATAATTATTTGAATGGTAATCAGGATATCGATGTGGGTGTTCTGTAATCGATTTATAAAATGCAATTATTACTGTAGTGTCATTTCCTATTTATGGCAGATATTTAAAAAATATACGTATTTTAAAAGAAGAAATATGAAAATCATATATACCGTCTCATCATTGCATGTGATCAACGTTACTTATCGCAATGCTTGTCAGAATCTTAGCTGAAGATTTTAATAAATAATCTTTATAATGATTATCATATCCAAATCCTTATATGCCTAATAATATTATACCTACTGTTAACACCAACTATTATATCTATACAGATAAATAAAATTGAAGCGTCTGTTTGTAATGTCAAAATAACAGCTTTTTACTAAATACATATGAAATTATATAGGTATGTTTATGTACTTATAAGAAAAAAGAGAACATATCTTTTAAATTTTTTGTCTATCTGTCTGTTTGTTCCGGCTAATATCCGAAACGGCTGGACCAATGTTAACGGGACTTTCACTGGCAGATAGCTGATGTTATAAGGAGTAACTTAGGCTACTTTTGTTTTAGAAGTTAGAACAGAATTAAGGCTCCGCTCAAAAAATTTAAAACCTACCAAGGGCTGCACCCGAACGAAGCAAGGACAAGTCGCTAGTTAATGATATAAATCGTCAAGGAATATATATTTTTTGATATGGTAACTTAAATTAGTATTATACCTAATAGAAAAAAAGAAAAATATGTCGTATTATGGTGGGTTCATGGGTTTTAAAATGATAGATCTAATGATCATCAATAATTATAATTTATAATACCTACTTATTTGAAAAAAAATGACCAGTAGGTATGTGACGAAAACATACTTTATTTTTTAATTTAGGGGTGGGGATAGGATAGTTACCACGTGACTAACTCGTTAGCAGCTGATTGATCGGCCATCAACCCGCTTCTGTCTGTTCCACTGTACAGAATGTTCAAAAAGCGCAATAATATAATATAATAATTTTATTATATAGTTATTAATAATAAGAAGAAATAAAATTGTGTCATAGCTTAACTGAGCTAATCGCTTTTGCAAATATATAAATACACATATATGTTATATAATATTGAAAAATATTTCAATCTTTAATTTTTTATACGTTTTCATCAGTATATTTAAGAAACAAAATGTTATTTTTTTAATAATTTAATATTTTTTTATTTATAAATAATGTTTTATCCATTATAAAACAGCCCTTATATTAAAAAGCATTGTTTCACTTATTAATAGCGAGTATAGTATAACTAATAACATCTCATTCGGATTCATTTCCCGTGATTAATTATCTGTTTAATCGATATAAGATGTTGTACCAACAGCCTTCACAAGTATTTTAATATACTATTTTGAATCTTATCGGTTTTTGATAAGATCAATTTTTGTATGATTTAGAAAGATTTAAGATTAGATTAAAGAGTGGATATATCAAACTTTTTTTCCTTCGTTGACGATCGCCTTTGTTAAAAGTTTAATTGGCCTCTAAACTAGCTCGTAGGTAATTCGATTTCAGATTGTGTTATGCTTTACGAATGTTAATCTGAAATTGATTGATTATACGGCGCTTGATATATGGGCGTGGATGTATTTAATGCGTTTCATAAGTGTATTGTTTTAATTTTACATTAAAAGTCATTAATGTTAAATATTACAGCGAAATAGGGCTTATCTAAAAAAAACTGATTGAAATAGCCAAATTAAAAGCTCAAACAGAAGCAATTCTAACAATTTTTATATACTACTTATATTAAAAACGCGAAGATTTGTGAGGATACGTATATATATACCTAAATATCTTTACTCACACATTCTTTCACGCAAAAATTACTAAACTGATTTTGACGAAACTTTACAGTAAAAAAGGGTAGGTACATGAAAATAATAGATAAGTTATATTATATAATTTTTAAAGATATACTAGTACATAATTAAACTACGCGAGTGGAGCTGGAGGGAAACGCTAGTTATCCATAAATGTTAAAATTTTAATGAAATTTTTGATTCGTTCTGCGTATCATTGGAGAACATTGTCACTTTGGAAACTGAAATAACTAAATTAATGATCGCTACGTGCGATACAGGGGCGAAGATTAATGATTACGATTGTCACTGCACCGCTACACTTATTGAAGCGTTTGTTTTATATCATGCCAACAAGCTTGTATTATGTTACATTAATTCTAAATGTACTCAAATATCAATTCGTTCTAATAATACTAAAACTGCTTGCACTTGTTAAACAAACATAAAGAAAGTGTTATACAAGTGTTAAGTGTTAACAATAATCTGACAATATCAAAAATCGTCGGTTATTATTAAAAGAAAATAATATTTCTTTATCATTTTCTATTTTATATTATCTACTCGTGTAGCTATACAATTGGATCTTATAGTTTAGATACCTACAAAATGAAAATCCTCGTCTAAGACTTTATTTGCAGATTCCAAGGATATTGGAGATATTGGATGGGTAGTTTAATAAATCGGCAAATGTCAGTACAAAACAACATTGTGACTATCATCTCGCAGCAATAACGAGCAATACCGCCAGTCATGCGCA